TCTTCTCCTCGTGGGTGTTGCTGCGCTGCTCGTATTCAGCCAAGTAAACCCTAAACCCTAAACCCTAAACTCTAAACCCTCAAGATAGAAAACCCTAAAGCCAATCGATTCCTCCAGGAGAATCTTCTTTGCACTGAACTCGATTGGTGGTCGGTGCAACGCCTAGCTAGGGTTTGGGGGGTTGGGTTTAGGGTTTAGGGTTTGGGGTTTAGGGTTTAGGGTTTACGGTTTAGGATCTAGGGTTTAGGGTTTAGGGTTTGTGCACAGGCTAATCTGACGGGTCCCCCCTTCAGCCCTTCAAAGGCCACGGAGTTGGTGGATATAAAAAGAGAAGAAGCGGGGAGAGCGAAACACCCGGATCTATACCCCCCCAAACAAGCCGCAGCAGCAGCAGCAGCAGCAGGAGCAGCAGCAGCAGCAGCAGGAGCAGCAGCAGCAGCAGCAGCAGGAGACGGAGTATCTGGCTGCAGTTGCTGCTGTTTTTACTGCGGGTTTTGTCCTCGTGAGGAGGCCGTAGCAGGAGTAGCAGCAGCAGCAGCAGGAGCAACAGCAGCAGCAAAGCAGAAACGCTGTTACTGTGAATTCGAGCTGAAAAAGTTTTGTGGTTTGGGGGACCCCGAGGAGCCCACAAACCAAACACGCCAAAAAATAAAACCCTTAGAACCCTTCCTCACTGTAGACGGAGAGGTATACACCCTAAACCCTAAACCCTAAACCCTAAACCCTAATGAATAAACCCTAAGGAATAAACCCTAGTGAATAAACCCTAATAAATAAACCCTAGTGAATAAACCCTAATTCACAAACCCTAATTCGTAAACCCTAATTCATAAAGCCCAGCTAACAAACCCTAATTAAAAGCCCTAATATACCCTAACCGATGAGTCAATAGTATTGCTTTCTGGTGAGTGCTGTGCCTTCATAAGGGCTCACAAGGGTTTAGGGTTTAGGGTTTAGGGTTTAGGGTTTGTGTGCTTGCAGCCCGTGTATGAAGGGGTTCGCGGCATTGCCTATCTGTGGTTTGCCCATTTAGTGTTTGAGGGTCTGGGGGCTCAGGAGCTTTCAAATGCAGAGCCTGCAGCAGCAGCAGCAGAAGCAGCAGCAGCAGCAGAAGCAGCAACAACAACAGCAGCAGCAGCAGCAGCAGCAGCAGCATCTTGTTCAGGAAAAAGCAAAGGGTTTGGGGGCCCCTTCAGTTTGTTTGTTTGGTCGTCTAGAACTGACTTTCTGCTGCAGCGCTCCCTGAGGGGAGGGGGGGGGGCCTCGGGGGCCCTCAGGGGGGCCCTCGCCCCCTCTCTGGTTTCTTCTCTCCTCTTTCAGTTTTCAGCTGTGTTGCAACAGCTCCAGGTAAATAAACCCTAAACCCTAAACCCTAATTCATAAACCCTAATTCATAAACCCTATACCCTAATTCGTAATACCCATAAATCATTATATGCCCCCATAGACCCTCATAAAAAATACTAAACCCTAACAAACCCTAATAAACCCTAGTAAACCCTAATAAACCCCAACGAACCCTACATTATCCCGCGTGTAGAGCGTGAGGATGCGGAGTGGTGGGTTGTTGCTGCGGCAAAGTAATGCCGGGTTGATGGTTGAGGGTTTAGGGTTTAGGGTTTAGGGTTTGTGTATACAGCTGTTACCAGCCGAGTTCAGCTGTACTTCACTTGAGGCTAAGGGCGTGGAGTGTATGCTGAGGGTTGGAGACTTCGGCGAGAAAACAAATAAAGCTGCGAGAGAATTTCTCGCGGATTTCTCCTTTTTATTGAATGACCAAAAAGACAGATTCATTCTATTGCCCCCCCTCAAGCGTCCTCCCCCTGCTGCTGCTGCTGCTGATGCTGCTGCTGCTGCTGATGCTGCTGCTGGTGTTGATGCTGCTGCTGGTGTCGATGCCGATGCTGCAGCGGGAGCGACAGCAGCAGTAGCAGCAGCAGGTACAGCAGCAGAAAAAGCAACAGGAACAGCAGACGCAGCAACAGC